GGCGTACCCGGCACACCTTCCGCACCGCCGCCCGGCGTACAATGGTGGTATCCAGGCGGAGTCATGGACGCCGCCGCGCAGAACAACCTGCATCAGCAGTTGCAGGGCCAACAGCAACAACAGCAGCCACAACAGCAACATCTCTCGCCCATTACCACGCAAACGTCCACGCCCCCCGTTATGTCTCCGGTATGTTGCGAAGTACGAGTACGAGTACGAGTACAGCTACCGTTTCTTCAAGAAAAGAAAAACTCGTATATATATCCTTTTCCGCGCGCGCGAGCATTTTCTTTTCCCGCGTTCTCTCGAGCGGCGCCCCGTCTTCCCTCTCTTTTTTTTATACTTCCCTTGGGTATTTCATAAATATTTTCCCGTTACCGGATGCCCACTTTTTGATCGCAGTCATATCCATGTCTTCTTATTGATTCGATATGACGAACTGATGGTCAAACTAAATTCGCGATAATTGGTAGTTAACACACTCGAGTCGGATCGTACAATAAGATAGGATAATATAAGAATTACTGTGCATATATATGAGAAATATATATTTAGAAAAAGAAAGAAACTACTGTGTTTTTATCATATGCAAATCGACTTTTCGTCAAACAACTTCGATCTAAGAAATAATCGTCCGGTAACGGGATAGCATTTATGCGACGCCTTTGTACCACGTTGTAGTAGTAGGTACGTAGGCCGAAACGCGACGACCTCGCTCTCCGCACCCCTCGGTTCCCCTCGTTCCCCTTGCTCACTAACCTTTCGGCCACTTTTGCGCGCTTCGCGAGCAAGCGAGCGAGCGAGCGGGTGGCTATAATACGAAGACAGAGATATAGCCGGTCCGACCAGGTGGCCACGCGGCTACTTTTGACAATTTTTCCGAACGCTTTCAACAAGATACGACAGATACAAAGAGTCTGTTCGTCCTAAATCGCGCTCTCTCACTCTTTAAGCCTCAGATGCCTTTAGTGGGCTCGTTAGGTGTCTCAACTCCGTAATTTTAAAATTCTGAAAAATTGTTATAAAATAATCCAGTCTTGGAAATGCACGCGCGCGCGCGCAAGAGATATACGAAGAGTAATTCCCAGATAACTTCGTGTTTGCTGCACACACAAATTGTCATTTTTTTCTTAAATAAAACAAAGTGAGTTTTTCTCTCTCTGTTTCTCTTCCTGTTTTTTTTCTATCAATGCTTATAGAGTTTTGATTCTGTTCATTTTATCTGCTATTCTGCGTATGGTACTTGGTCAGTTGTTTGTTTGTTTGTTTGTTTTTTTACACTGTTCAAAATCGCGAGTCGAACATGCCAATTTTCATGCGAGCGGCCACGAATCTTGACAAGGTGATTAGACCTTAATTGCTAAAGTAGTAGTGTCGACGATTTTGTGAAGTACGCTCTCACATACACATACTTCACGCGTGAATCAATTATCTCATTGTTCTTGTATTGTCCATGTTCTTTTTGATATATTAGATAAATTTATATCCTATTTATCTAAATTAAAAATATCAAGTGGAGATGGACTTTTACGATGAACTTGCCTCACTGGTTTCAAAGATATGTTATGGTACTAAGATTGCCAACGGCGATAGGCGCAGGTATCGAGAAAGTTAGGTATATCGGAATCTCTTTCGTTGGTTAGGTTTTGATAGGCACAAAGAGAGGCGATCCATGATTGCGATAATTGTGATAAAAGGTATATGCATGCATACACATCCTTCGTATTCTTCGATGTCGTCTCGTAAAAACAGCTTGCTGGAGAATACGGCGTATTCTCGTAGAAGTTTTGCTCATCATCCCCTGCTTCGGCGATCCCGCAATAAAACGAAGAGAATATTGGACGGAAGGATATAATTTATTTCCTGCGGTATTGATCGATATTCACGACGATCGTCGACAGCGATAATCTCGACTAAATTTTTTTGCTTACATTTACCTGCCCGGGTTGAGAATTGGTGGAAGGGGGAGGAATTTAGAAATACGTAGAATATTTGTATAACAGTGAATCAAAAATAATTTCATGATGTAATTTTATCATATACAGGATGTATCGATTAACTGTTTGTTTTCCATTAATTTTCGTTTGTTTTTTGGAGTAATTTTGAGCCTACCTCTCTCTCTCTCT